TGTGATGTGATTTCAATCTAATCACTCAGCGGATGTGTCTCCTACAGAGGTAATAAGGTGATCATCAGAAAGAAGTTAAGAGGGAAAACGAAATAAGAAGCAGCAGTAGTCGGGTGGTTGCGCTCGTCAAAGCGGTTAAGTATACTCTACCGACCAATCCCTCTGAGCTTTGAAACTGGAAGGACTGACTTGGTGGTTGCGATTATTTTCTATTCGCTCAAGCATAGTTAGTATCACTAAGTTCGGACATACTACCCTACCCTCCTCGCCATATTCACAGGTATCGTCTTCCTGAAAAGGTTTTCGATATAAATATAAAGACTTCCGGGGATAGAATCAAAAGATTGGCAAACATAACGTACCGCGGAGCGAACCGTACTTTCAATAAAATATATTTTATTATTTTCTGAAAACTCTCTCGCACTTGAGGTTTAAACTTACGATCAATTAGTTTGCTAGTCGACGACATCCTTTGCGTATTAGGCCACTCAGACGAATCAGTAAGGAATTTTGTTTTGTCCTATAAGTCAGTTATTGATTAAATTGAAAACCGTTCAAGTCTTCAATATTTATATTTTTCTTTCCTGATGAAAATGTCTCTGAACATTTTAACTTGCACTAATTTGCTTTACGCTAGCGTTTAATAAATGAACCGGAAACATACGGTATTCAGAAAATCCAATCGACCCAACAATTTTAACAACAACTCTATGAAAATCTCACGCTTTAGATACGTTTAACAATTATTTTTGATAAAATTATTAAAATGTGTGAAAGATATCAGTAACACGTTCAAGCTACGCACATTTGCACTTTTGAATGGAAAGTGTGTTTTGTGTGTATGCTTATGTGCGTGTAGCAAATATTGTAATCCCAATATATTTATAATTTTTAAACACAATGTAGAATAAAGCAAACATTTAAATCCAAACGTATGGTTCGTCTGTCCGACAAAACGAACAATTATAATGAAAACAATGGAAATATATCTGCAAAATTATTTTTAATTGGGATAACGACGACTCCGAAATACACTGCATTTGTAAAAGCAGTTAAAAAAAAAAGTAGGCGCTTAAGGGTATGCCTTGCAAAGGTTAGCATGAACTTGAGGTAAAATCTTTCGTGCAGAAAACCATCTACCATTTTGTTAGTTGTTGTGCAAATGCTCCATTAGGTGGAAGCCTTGACGAAGAAAAAGCAAATTTAAGTAAATAATCGAAGTGGAAGTCAAAATCGTAACAATGAAAACGTTGTTAATGTGCCTTTGTGTGAAGATTGAAAACTATGGAAAATGACCACCAGTGCATAATATTCCGATGAAACGCAAAACAATAGACCGACGGTTTTATATATTTGATAATAACAATGGCCCAAAAAATAGTATCGTTTACATGGTGCCTTTATTTATTGAATATTTGATCCAGAGATTATGCAGCAGATATGTCTATACGTCCTTGCCTGCTTGCCTACGCTTCTAGATGAACAATTATCCGACTATTTGCTAAAACTAGAATTTCAGTTTTATTGCACTCGCACACCTTTACATATATATATATATATATAGAGGTATACTTTAAATTCTATTTATATCCATTATAAGTCATATGTTAACAATATAAACACCATTTAATGCTAGTAGTAGCCATCGTTTCGATTCCCAAGGCCTGTGTGTCCGTGATACCTATCGTGGCTTAGTAGTGAAATATCCAAAGCAACAATAGAAAACAATTGCACACCCATGAATTTGTGCACACATTCACATCTACAGCGAAATATAATTCTTCAACTGCTGTTTATCCAATAATTCAATTGTCAAAGGGTCGGTTAGTCCACTGCTACTGTTTGCTTATTTATTGTATGCTTTTGGTTAGATTGGTTTTGGTTTATATTATATATGTTGTTCATATATATATATATATATGCACATATATACATATATATACATGTGTGTCTATAGAATATTGGGATTATATTCGAACTTCCTCTACGTATATATAAGCGTTTGTATAATAATGCGTTTATATGTTAGTTGCTGTGACTTTGAAAATCAACAAAACATAAAGCCATCAGGCAATTGGCGCGAGTGTGGCACAACCACAATCCGTTTTAACTAAAGCTATACATGACTCACACTCTCAACGTTTATAGGTTAGGTTAACATGCTAAATATCGTCAGATGCTATTGTTCCATATTTGTAAAATTTTTACATACACCTACACACACACACACACACACACACTCATAAGCATACACTTTATTAATTGATGAAAATGAAAGGACAATAACTGTGTGAAAGCATTGTATTGTGTTTGGAGAGTGCCTAGTAACGATGATACCAAAACGATGACGCTGAGAGCACATGATGATGATGATAACAATAATAATAATGATGACAATAGAAACAACAGAATTACTTATGTATTTGCTAACTCAAGTACACATGTGTGCGGTGTACAGGACCAAGTAATGTACATAGTATAAAAGACAATAAAGTCTCAACAATATTCAATAGAAATTGTTATGTTGTGTGCTTGTAGGCGTGTAAATAGTAGTGGCGTTATTTTTCATTGCACATACACACACATCGTTACCTGCGTCAATATTAGGTCGTAAGTATAAAGTATTAGATTGGGTCTAGCACCAATCACTACGCCGTGTGTTTTACTTGCAGAGAAAATGCATGTTCTTCCTTTTTCTTTTTTTTTCAGTGCTTAAAGTCGGTAAGTAAATTATACATGGGTGTTTTTTGAACGAGAGAGATAATATTAAAGCACCCACTAAATCCTCTCTAACGCCCAGTCATGAATATTCCGGAATTACCATTGAGTATTACGTCGGGAGTTATGCTAAATGTGTGTGTGTGTGTGTGTGTTTAAAAATATTTTTTATTAACTATGATTGTGAACTGAGTGATCATTTAAAATATTGTCCATTGTATTAGTCATTGTTCGAAAGAACGATTTGTCTTCTAATAGGAATTTTTTTTCACTCATCATAAAAAACCAACTGCTTCTTATCAGCCGCTAGTGAAAATAAGTAGTAACCCACAAGGCACAAAGCGGTAGAATTGCACAATCCTATTCTGTAGCTCTGTCGTTTTTTTTTTTTTTGCCGCTTTCCCAATATGTGAACCTAACCTTATCGTTATCATTAGCTTATTGTGGGTGTATTTTAAAAATTGTACCAAAAAATAGCGTCCGTCATCATCGATTGTTTCTTCCCACCATCTGACCGATGACATAATAATGAAAATGCACACTAATGTCGCAAAGTCTGAAGAGTAGAATTGTCACACAGAGCTGCCACAACATTATATTACAGAAATATCAGGCACTCTTTTACCTAACATGAGCACTCTGCTAATGCAAGAGATTGTGTAGACAAGCCTTGTTTCTCGAGTAACTGAACCTAAACGTGATATGCAATGTAACACATGGAATAAAGCTTTTGAAGCTTTCCAGTTTTTACGGAGCATTTTGATTTTCTGGGCAGCGACACATGTAGTTTTCTTCCTGTTTGAGGTTCCTTCAATCGTTACCTGTAAACCAGCAACGAACAAAGTACTTTCGCAAAATCGGCATTTATACTATATTCCACAGCAAATCGGTATAATCAAGGACATCTATCCAGTGCAAGTAGCACTTCAGTTTTGCACATATATATATATATATATATATATATAGCTATATATATCGCCATGTTTTCTTTTTGTTTTGAAATTAATTATATTGAATAAGAACTCGAATGCCATCGACCTCTGCTCGCTGATATTTTGCTTAGTTTACTCTCAATTACATTCTTTTGAGTGCTCTATGAAAAGCTCCAGAAATGATGGTTGGCACGTTTCGTTTATCCTCGATCTTCTTATGGTCGGTAAGCTGAACATTGGCTCAAATATTATTGCACGCGAAAATAGGCATAAGAATGATATAAAATATGCAAAATAGGCTAAGAAATACTACTTGGGAGAAAAACAACAAAGTACAACAACGTGGGCAACAATGATCATCAAAGATGGTCATATGTGTCTTGGGGAATTAACTCAAAATGTTAATATCCCTTTGAAGCTAGTTTCATAGTATATCGATTAGTAAGTTGAACGTAAAGAAGGTCGGCGCGTGATGGTCTTTCGAAAGAACTATAGTTTGTCCATCAGAGTTTGGAGGCAATAACTTGATCAGTGTGATCTAAAAAGCACGGAAAAGAAATGTAACGAAGGATCACAAAGGCATACCTTAACGAATCCAAGGAAAACTTATCGATAGCTTTCTGGAAATTTCTTGTATTGTATCTTTTTTTGTCTGTTTGGATGTCATGTATGTGTGCGGCATTTGTACAAATTGAGCTGCGCCGTTTTCAGGACATGTTAAGCATAGAGTAAACGAAAATTTTTTTAATTCTTTTAATTATTTATATATATTTGTATTTTATTCTTTGTTCTCTTTTTTTTTTTTTTCTTTTGTTTGCTATTTTTAACACATTACTTTTTAATATTACAATAGTTTATATATATATATATATATATATATACATATAGATATATACACATATATATATATATTTAACTTAATCAAATCTAACAAAAACTAGTTATATGTTCACTTCAATCTCTAAATGTATTGTATTTTTATTTACCATAAGTAATGATACACTGGTTAATGCTTATTATCTAAGTCTAGTTTGATATCTGAACATTAATATGTACTTGTATGCGTATGCGAATCTGAAAGCAACAAATATTATTTAACATTAGCCTTAAAAACGAAAACATAGATGAACCGAAATGCTCGCGTTCATAGGTATACATGAAGAGTTTCACATAAAAACAAGTTCAAGTCCTAACTTTCTAACGGTCGGTCTGCCTCTGAACAAGTTCCCTAATTTTGTAAAAATTATTCTAGATATACATTTATTTGCTTTTCAATCGCCAGTTTTTTATGTATATATATATATATATACATATATATTTGTAATAAATAGGCGCCCGCGCTACTCATAGGGTCTAAACATGCCGTTGACATCACCGGCGATACAACTGTCTCAATCCTGCGAATCGCCTGCGTTACTATTACGATCTATTGAAGTGCTTCCACCATTCGATTCGGATTGTTCGATATCGGCTGGATTTATAACGCCAGGGAGATAAGCTGCACTTGTATACGGTGCGGTTAGGAAACGTTTGGCATGAGCTTGCATAAACGGTGGATAGCGGTGGGTAGGTGAACCAAACACTGCAGCCGGCGGTACTAAAGGTGAGAAGGCCGATTTCAAAGGAAATGGCGGTGAGGGCGGAACTTGTGGCGGCGAATTTGTCGCCGCAACCGCCGAGGCTATGGCCTGCGAGACATCTTCCCCCGATAACATTACTTCCATTGTTTGTAAGACATCGCCGCGATAACGTTGCAGCAGCTGTTCAACATCGCTGCGTCGACGGTTGGGAAAAACACGCAGCAGTACGTCTACAGGCGATCGCTGTTGCGCTCCATTGCTCGGATGGGCCGTCGGCATAGTCGGCTGTTGTGGATGGTGGGGATGCGGCGAATGCTGAGCAGCATGTGGATGCGCACTGGCCGCCGCCACCGCTAAAAATTGCGAATGATGATACGGCATGAAACCTTGGGGATTATTGTTGCTAAAGTTACGTAACATGTGCATGCTATTCTCGGTCGTCGATGGTGTTTGCGGCGGTGAAGTGGAATCTTCCTTTTTCAGGCTTAGATTTTCGGGTGTAGCTTCGTCGGGGGCTGAATCAACATCCAAATCCGACTCTGGTGAACTTGGCGGTCCGGTACGAGCTGGCGACAGATTTCCACCGCTATTATTGTAGTTAGGTGTCGATTTAGGATGAGGACTACTAGGCGCTGATTCCGAACCAGTATCTTGATCGGTTTCAGTGGATAAACGTGCTCGTTTGGACCCTATTAATACGTAATAGAAAAATTGATAACACATTCTAAGCTTTTATGTTAACAATAATTTTTTCTAATCTTTTCAATGATGGCTTCCTTTTATCGAAGAAAGCAGCAACAAAAATAACTCTTAAGTAGTCAAGATAAGAGAAACAAGAACTTGTTAGGTCCGTATGATTCATGAAACGTTTTTATGGCTTCAAATATATTTAAGAGTATTTTTTCGGAGTATCTTAGTAGTAAGGGTTTAATCCATGCTAATATATATGGACTCAGCTGCACATGCACACGAGGCGTGTGTCAAATGCATTCGTCAATCATAAACATTGTTTTCATCAAACGTCTTAAGACTGTTGAGAGCAAAACGGTAGTGCTCTGAGTATATGGAAATTGGAAGAAAAAAGCTGTCAAATGCTTTAGGAAGCAACTTTCAGAGGCTGCTCTGTTGGCCCGCACCAGTTTGGTCACATCTGCTTTTTTCTTATTTGCTATAAGTTGTGTGCAAAACACATCGCCTGTTTTGAATTATAACATCATGCCTTGTTATAGACAAACGACGAACCAGAAATAGGGAACGTAGCGCCTGATAAGATTAATGTAATAAAAAATCATTGGTAACCAATTTTTGACAATTCGATTGAATATAGAAATGTTGGTTGTGCAAAATAGTCATTTACTAAAAGTTATTACGGACAGGCATCGACATTTCTCATACCATTAGCTGAGAGAACTTGTTTGCAAATCTTATTCGATCGTAGTCATTATGGAAAAACCAATTACGCTTGATTGCACTTGATGTGTCAAAGAAGCCCTCACCACTGTCTTCACTTAGTTGTTTAAATGGCATTGTAAAGCAAAGAGCTATTGCATCGAGACAAAGGCCTTAAACTTACGTTGTCCTAACACCAGGCAGATCGATTTCAAGGCGTTGCCAATTTATGTCCCTTCCGCACAAACTTGTCCTAGTCTAACCTACGAAGGTTGTAGGGTGTAAAAAGTTCAGTGCGTCTTTCAAATTTTAAACTAAGCGATGAATTTGTTTATATCGTAGATAATTAAATCGCTAAGACTAGTGTCAGTCATGTTTCTCTAACAGATATGAAGATTGTCACCTAAAGATGAAAAGTTTTTGCCGATAATTCGCTACATTTTTCGAACACTCGCGTCAGTGATGTGGTATTAAGAACAAATTATGGACCTAGATTTGAGAGAGTTGACAAGTTCACAAGTTGAAAAAGGCTTCGCGACTCCATTTCAAAATGGAAAGAAACTAAAATTTCTTTGTTCTTCATTCGTTCGGTAAATAGAAGCGAATTATCCGGTATCTCATTGTCATGTTGCCTGTGAACCAGTAGAAAATTGAAGAATTTATTTTCACTGTATTTATATTTGCACATACGCAGAGGCTATGTTTTCAATTTTTTTTTTTGTTTTTTTGAGTTTTTTTTTTTTTAGCCCAATATCCTCTCCGCTTACACGGTTTATTCATATATTTTGTTAATAATAATAACAACAACAGCAACAACAACAACAACGAAAAAAGTGCATATGGCTTTGATTTTGTTTCTGTTGCTTCACTTTATATTGACAGTGTTTTAAATTTCATTTAAAAAATCAGTTAAACGATGCTTGACGATGGATAGAGTTTCTTATAAGCATTTCTTCGTTAGAAACGAGAAGATTTAAAAGTCAACAATGAATGGCCTGTATTTCAGTTTCAAGTTACTCTTGCTTAAAGGAACAGTGAATTTAAATAAAAAAATCTTTTCCTTTCCCTAGTTAAAGGAAAAATCAGCACATGCAACACTTTTCTGCCATTCTTGTCGTTCGCTCGCTCGCTCGCTCGCCTATTGTTATACTATTTTAACTGTGGCACCTCGTTAACGTTTACTTTTGTTTTGTTTGTAATATATATTTTAACTTTTTAACAAAATTTCTTCATACGCACCAGAAGAAATTAAGAAAAAAAAAGAAAAAAGAAAGAGAGAAAAAACATTTAATGCATACGTTAAGTTAAGGCAAAGGTGGCGACTTGAGTGGCGTAAAAAATCGTTTTCTATGCTGTTTCTGTTTTATTATTATATTTCAAATCGGCTGGTTAGAGCTTACAAAGGGAGGTTGAAGGTTTGGTTGTTGGGTTGTTGTTGGGTTGTTTGGTTGCTTGGTTAACTTAAGCATAGAGGCACTTTTTTTTTTCGCAAACTTCTCCGCTATGTTAAGTGAAAAATCTTTTGTTAAAACAAGTGGTAACTCTAAGTAAACGGCTGTTTGCGCTGTTTATGCCTCGCAACACTTTTGACAATTCGTTGTATAACAAACAAGTACATAAGCACTAGAAAAAAAAAAATAAAAATAGAGAGGAACATTTCATCTTTGGCAGGTGTGCGGCCAGACATAAATGTTCGCGAACCATTGTAATAGCTATGCGGCATATGAGTGCATGCGACGTTGTAGTGAATGTTTTGGGCAAATTAAAACGACCGCAAGCAAAGTCATTATAATTTGTTACTATTTGCGTCTACACTTACCGGGGCTTTCGACCTCCGCGCGGTCGGGTGAAAAACCCATCGATATGCGATCTGCTCGCATACGCATCTCTGTATCCGAATCACCGGAATTCCCATTAAATTGCATTCGCTGTTGGTGATGCGGATTTGTCGAATCCAAGCCATCGCTAGGCGGTGATGGTATACCGGCATGAAAGACTCCATTTGCCGTCGCTGGAGGACTTAATTGTGCCGTAGATGTGGTGGTGGTTTCGTTTGCATTCGGCGGCTGAGGTACACCCGGCGGTACACTCGTATACAATAAACCCAATTCCCTTGCTTCGTTCTCCTCCTGCGCTTGTTGTCGTCTTAAAGCCACCTAAAAAGTAATTAATATAGAAAAGTGTTTTTGTTTAGGAAGATAAGTCCTTTTCCACGTACAAGTAAAATGATTTAAGTCAGTTTTTCTTATTTTAAATCACGTGATTAGATAAGTCTAAATCAATTCTCAGATATCAGAGTTCGAAATCAATCGCACTTGCATTGTAATTAATTTGTTGCGAAGACTTCTTTCGCTTGCATTCTAATATTAAGTTCGATTCCAAAAGTTACTTAAATTTTCAAGATGTAAGTGAGGAGTGAAACGCTTAAAAAGCTATTATGAATCCTATACTGATAGTTATGCCGAATATGTGGAAGTAATGTTGAAAGGAATTCAAAGCTTTGTTGAAACCAACTGTAAAGAGGCAAAGTTATAACGGTAAGAGCTAAGTTAAGGGAGATAAGTACAAGGGATAGGAGATCATGAAAAATCGACTTAAACTGACTGCATGAATGCATCTGTAAAATGCTCCAGGTGTCACCTACTGCTTTAGGGCAGGTAAATAAAAGTATGAAAGTCCCTTGCAGTTAAGCTTTGTTAAGAAATTCCAAGCCTTACTTCAAGTTCAATAAAATGAGATTCGCTGGCACATGGAAGCTTTAACTACATGAATGCGTCTGAAAAGATCGACTACAAAGTGAAGTTAGGTGATCGAAGTGCCTTGAAGTTAAAAGACTGACTGTGAACACTTCTTTAACGAGAGCTCAAAGCATTCCATTGAAATCTACTACGTACGGTAATAGTAGAGTGTAATATAGGTCGGAAATCCCACGATTTGTTTTAAGAGACAGATATAGTAAGGATAGGAATAGTTTTAATTGAATTTAAGTTTTGTGTGAAAAATTCTAATTTGTATACCTACCGCCACGAAAAGGGAAGTACTCGAGAAGTCTGATCGTCCAAGTATCCGTCTTGTGTTGGCATTCTTAAATTGAATAAGTGAGATTAAATTTAGTAAACAAATCATCATATTATTCAAGCAGTTTTAACGAAAGGGAAAGCGACTTAAACACGATGTTCATTTCCTACAAGAGGAAGCGTAAGACTTACGAAATGCTATCAGCATTTAAGCTATGTATAGTATATGTGTTATTGGGTCGACAAAAAACTACTACCTGCTACGGATATGTTAAGAAAACATATCGAATCGATGAATAAGTTCTCGACCTGATATTTGTTTGTTATAACGAACATTTAGTTACCGCCAAAGAAATCCCACTCGTTACAATCATTTATTATTATTTTTTTTTTTGTGTTATCATGGCCAAGGCTAACTTGTTTTGTAATAGAATATGATTTCCTATCGTCATATGATCTTATTTCTGGAGATCAAGTAGATCACTTGAAATTATAAAATGGCTCACTTGCCCTAAACTGCCCTATAAAAAATTAACTTTAATGCAATTGTAACGTTTTCGGGCGAGCAAGTAAGCAGATCAGTTCTTCTTTCAATACTTTTGTATTAAAGAAGAGTTTTTCGTGGATCTATATATAATTTAAAGTTACTTACTGACCTTTGAAGGACGAGAGCATTGCATGGTTTAAAAAACCATGAAATGAAAAAGCCCGCGCCAAGCCACAGATGTACTTTCTTCCTTTGCATTTTAGTTAGGGAAAAAATTTGTGAGTCCCTCTACTGCAGCAATATGCTGGCTTTGCCGGCGTGAGTTGATTACGCTATTTACCGCTGGAAGATCAATGATTGTGTCTTTAAAAATCTTTTCGAATGAAGTCTCACTACGGTGTAGAGGTCATAACAAACAGTTAGCATTATTCGTTGCAGCTTGAACAAATCGCTTAATGTCTCAAAGAGAAGTCATTGATTTTTTGATGCTAAAAAGTTAGAGACAAACTTTCTGTAACCAACGAAAATGATGTCGCTTAACCTAAACACTTTTGCTTAAAATATAAAAATCTTTGGGCTTTTAAAGAAACAAAGAAGGGAAAGAATAGGAAAGTGATCGTCGTGTTTTGTCTTGTAGGAAATACAAAAAAGTCCCGAAACTGGAAAGTGAGACATTAAAACGATTTTCCACAGTAGACGAATGAATGAAATGAAATCTCTTTCTTTTGCATGATATTATAAAACGAAAGTGTACCGAAACGGAACATCACGGCTGACTTTGGCGAAAAGAATGCAAGTATTTTCCGTAAAAATTGTTGGCGTTTTAAAACTTGAAGTATAGAATTCTTGTTGTTGCTTAGTAATTTGCTTCTGCAAGTCATTGCTTAGATTGAAAATCCTTGCCTTGATTCTACATTTGTTTCAAGTTTTACTTTAAACGAATGCTTTGCAGAGCTGCTTCATTGATCGAAATTATATTTTTAGAACATGGCTTCGTTGAAATTTGTCCTATTTTCCGTAGCATAAATACGCGATGCAAGCAAAGAATTTCTGTGTTCGGGAAAAGTGAAAAAGTCGACTTACTATACCAAAGATATTTCTTCAATTCCTTAAGTAAGTAATACTTTGGTTTATATTCTCTAGTGATTCGCTGTCTCTTTAGTTATTTTACCGGCGGCGATTGTTAAAAATTATTCGAAAATGAGAAACGAATTTGCCTTGAAAAAAAACAAAAAAAATCTCGGAATAAAGAAGACTTCAGTCTGCAAAGTAACCTGCTATTAAATGTAGTATTTAATTATCTTTGGTTCTGTGTCCAGAGATGCCTTTCGGTAGGCATTGAAATTTCTTTCCATTGCCTTCAGAAATAAAATCCTAACAGCTACATAAAGAGGTTGTTAAGAAATTCATGATCTTGGTAACTTTTGTAAGCTCATGACTGATTTGTTATTTTACCGCTGGTATGCGAACTCAAATTGCATAAGAGCTTATCTTATACTAGCATCTGAAATAGTTTTTAGTATTTCCTTAGCACTATTTGGGTTAAGGTAAAATAAATAAATATATGTATATGTATATATATATATATATATATATATTGTTATGCGAAACAACGTAGGCTTACCTGTGCCGCCATAACCCGTTGACGTTCCGCAATTAATGTACATTTAGCGCATAAACAGTCACGCCATCGGCAATAACGTTTATGACCTTTTAGAGCACTAACCTATAAACATAAATAAACGTCAAGTTATTGAGATCGGCTTATTAAAGGTAAATTAATTAATAAATAAAATTAAAACTAAGCAGATATAGTTTAGTTAGTTTAGTGTATTTAATAAAATACTAACCACTCCGTGATTGCGACAACGAGCACATTTTGGTGTACGCTGATAGCGTTCCGAAGCGGCGCGTAAAAAGAAAGCAGGCGGTAAAGCACCTAAAACTGGATGTTGCGACATAAGATTTTGCATATCCACACCGCTGGGCAAACTCATTACTTTAAACGGATACGGATTTTTATAGGATTTGTTGCTTTAGTTTTTTTTTTTTTTTTGTAACTTTTTTCTTTGTTTCTTCAAATTTTTTTAGAATATTTTTTTTTTTTTCTTTTATCTCGATAAACAACACATCACTTTAGAGTTTGTTTTCTTTTATTTCTAATTTTCTTATAATATGTAAATCACTTTAGTTGCTACTATATATAAAAATGTATGTTTAAAAATATACATATATATATATATATATAAAAAAAAAGAAGGTAAATTATTGAGATGTTGAAACAATTTGTAACCGTTAAAAACTTAATGCGATTGTTGTCGTAACGCGCTGAGAACTTGTTTGATACTGAAACAAAATTTTTCTCATTTATCTCAAATATCAACAGCACTTTCTTCGCATTTTAGGTTAGGACAGCTTACGCATATACCCACACACATATACACACGCCCATATACTGTATACTGTAAATAAACCTGGGGGTTGAAATTGTAATGATTCCTAGCTGAGCATCATCATCATCATCATCATCATCATCATCGTCATCGTCATCTTCATCATCATCATTGCTTTCTCAATAAGAAACAAATAAGAAATTTAGGCGACGTTAAGCCGAATGCTGATCGCTTATTGTGTCGAGTAAATATACAAAATTTTCAAGACAATTCGCAAACGATCCGTTTACAAACCACTTAGTATCATTTTTGGCAAAAAAAACACTGAGCCAATCCAAGTAGGAATTGTACGATTGAAGTACATATATGCATTTTGTATTTCTAAAGGCTTAATATTTATTAGATTTCCGTATATGTGGACAAAATGTCATATTTTCGATGAGTAGTAGATACTATCGAGTTTCAAGTTATTTATGAAAATTCTTGACTATGCATTTTTTGGCTTTCTTCGTACTTACGTTAACTTTTATCTCTTATGGACACTTTTGTGGGCGGCTTATCGGCTTATTTTTAATTTGATTTAATTTGAACTTTCATGAAAAATACAAGGATTAGCTAGCTTTCTTATCTACTCGCTACCAATGACTGAAATGCAAGCGTGCGTGAATCTACTCAGAATCTCACTCTAAACGATTTGCTAACGAATACACTTTATATTAAACTATATCGTAGCGTTTACAATATATTGAACCTAGCTGCAAAAGTAGCGTTTGTGAGAAGAGATACTGAAGGAAGGACTGACAAAAATATGATCAAATATTCTTCACACTATCTAAAATGATGGAAAAAATATTGAGCCTAATAGCAGGAGAGCATAAGTAAATGATCTCAAAATCTTGCTCGATAAGCTCTATAATGTTTCGCTGTATTACCTATTAAATAATCGAAGATATATTTAGCTTAATAGCAGCAATATCAATATGAACAAAATAAATGAAGTGAATGCTCATGGCTTTCAAGGGCACTTCAACATATACTAATACTATACAGTCACAAACTGTATGATTGTCCGAGTATGCCTTTATCTGCGAGGTGATGATTATAAAACTCTAGAGCTGTGTGAATCCAAGTATAGTAACAACAAACAATACACAAAATCTATATATAGCTACCTATGCCAACATGAACGCAGTCAGTCACTATATATGCATTCGTGTATATGAGCAGTGGCACAAACAACACTGTGACTGTAACTGCGTTAACTGCAGAAACGTACGCAATTAAAAAAGTTTCAAAATTCAATTCGGTACTGTATATAAAATTGTTCAGTCAACAAAAACGAGATACCACCACCACCACCACCATCACCACCACCACCACCACGAGCACCACCACCATCACCACAACCATAACTACAGCTATTGCCACAACAACAAGAATAACAGCAACAATAACAATAACACTAACAACGATGACGATGACGACAACGACGACAACATAATACAACAATTATAGCCAACCATTCTTGTCAGACATTGGGGTCGCCCGCTCATACACACTCTCATACAATTCGTTCGTTCGCTCATTCATTCATGTTCATCGACAAAACAGTCGGTTACTGTGTTTTGCTAGGTTCGCGTGGATCTTTGCGTATAAGTGTGCGTGTGTGCATGTATGCGAATTGCGTTATTTTGTTGTGTTTTTGCTTTTTTCAACTTATTTCGAAAAGTGGTTGGTTTTCATTTTGTTTGTATTCATCTTTTTGTTGTTGCAGTGTCTTCTCTCTTTTGTTCTTTTAGGCTCTTTTGTATGCGAGAGTACGTATAAATGTGTACATTTTTGTTTTTGTATTTAATTTTTTCTTTTTTTTACTTATTTTTTTTTTACTTATTTATGTTGAAGTTGGTTTCTTCTTTTTCTTTTCGCTTAACAGCTTCAAGCTATACTGAGTATATTACTGTTAAATTATTTTGTTTCGTTTGTATGTGTGTCTATACGCGTGTGTGCAATTGTTGCGAACAGCCAACCAAAAGCATTTCTTTGCTGACATCTGCATCCTTGTATATGTTACTCTTTGGTTGTTGCTGCTAATGGTAGTGGAAATGGTGGTTCATAGCATTCATTGTTAAACTCTATCAATATCAGCCAATGCTAACAAAATGTATTTTTAACTTTTTGTTGAACAAATTATGTATACATTTATATATATATATAACTTACTTAAGAACTATATACAATTTAATCGTTTTGAACACATAATTACAGTGGAAAGAGTGCGCGATTTATCGGCAAGATTTCGCCGTAGGGGTGCGGAGAAGTAGTTTTATTGAAATTAATCTTTAAACTGGTTTTCAAATGATTTTCAAAAATTTAAAATGATTTCAGTTATGTTGTGATTCGCAGGCATGATTATAACCTATGAGTAAGAGGAGGCTATCTCTTCTGACAAGAATTGAACGATAAGCTCTGGTCGATCTGATAAACTGCAAGCCTCGGCATTTAAAACAACTATTTGACGAACACTCTTACATAACTAATTAATTCTTTTAACAGATATATACATAAGTCGACGTCAAAACTTGGATAATTTTACTAAATAAAAATTCGAAATTAATTTTGCACTACAGGGGTTGGTTGGGAGGCACAAAAATGCCGAGAGCCAGGAAATTAAGTGAATAATGGGTACGGATATGGGCATTGCGTCTAGCGGCCTTGCTACTTGTGTACTCTGTTCTCTACTGAGAAGCGAGATGAAATGTTACGGGAAGTAATTGCAAGAAAATCTTACTTTTCTTTACTGTCATTATTGATCACTCAGTCCAGTTAGTATTTAAAAAAGATTCAAATTTCAAAACAAGTTTCAGCGACGCAAGTCTTCAGCTTGACATAGCTATATACTAACACTTATATTCTCGCGTTATGATTGTTTATTAGCCACAATAATTGGGTTTCTTATAACGGTTTTTATGACTTGGCATCAAGCTTGCTATTCCGACAAAGTATTCACAATAAAACTCGCAAAAATCAATTGTGGTGTACAACAAATTGGTTAAATCGCGAAAACAACAAAAACAAAATATATGCTTACGACTTACGGCATTTCTGAGATGTTGTTCAGGCTACAACTAGCTATACGTTTCTTTGATATGCTTATGAACCGTGTGAGCATTATCCATAAGTTAAAAGCGACTTTACGCGCTTGGAAGCAATTGGACGATTGATTGCTTGCTTAGCTTAAGCAATGCTATTGTGAAATTTCTTGCCCTAAAGCGAATTTTGGATGCTTAACAACCTGACGAGTGTTTGATAATGCTAATTAGGTTAGAGCGTCAGTAGAAACTATATTTGCCCTTCGCCGACCCGCGCGAGTTACGCTAGAATATCGAAGAAAACAAAAATGCGCAGGCGACTTAAAGTGAATGGTTGTGTATACAACCAATGGACGCCTAAACTACAGTCTGATGATCACAAGGGAAAAGGAAACTATCACTCAATCGATTTATAACGAATCCTGAGCCGAGTGAGATGATTAATTGGATGATTGGAAGAGATTTGCTTCGACAGACCAGATGGCGCCTTTCATCGCCGGTACCTGGGCGCACTAAGATGACATTCAAAAAGATCAAGGGATGTTCTGAAATAAAAAAACATGGGATTATGTGATATTGTGATACGTTGAGCACGTAATTGACGAAGAAGGCTTTCAACAAGGGATGCTATTATTAATTTTTTTCATTAAAAAGATACGCACGTACTTGTCATACAAGTTGTATATATGTAATATGGTGATAACTTTAGGTTAGACATAAGAACATTACGTTACAGCGCCTATGGTAATGACGGATGAAAATTTCCAAATAATTAAAATTCGTACCGCAATTACACCCAACAAATCGAGTGACAAAGACGAGTGTTTGCGATAAATTATTTACAGTTTTTTTTTTACTAAATGCCAAAGGCGCTAATATGTTAGTTTCGCCGTCGATCCATGTCCGTCTGTAGGGTATGCAACTAAAGACGCGCAGATTGACAAAAATTTCCTAAGCGAATTTTGAAAAAATCTACAAAATTCATTTTTCTGCATTTTCTGAATATTTTGGATTTTACATCCATCCGCTTATATTATGCGAGGAAGCAAGTGCAGCTTTTCTGAATATTTCCTCAGGAGGAAGGAAGGCATTACATTTACTACCATCGCAGACATTAGATCAGCGAACAATATCGTTTTCGTTTGGTGAACGCTTATGAGGAAGACACAAAATCTTGAACGGCATCCGAAATCTACTTTTCGATGTTACCTAAACAAAGACCAAATTAGTATACTTTCCACCTCCGCTCGTAATTTCCCTCATCAATTACATACCTCCGACTGATGAATACATCAGTTCTCAGCTACAAATCTTCCTTTTTTCTTTCTTTCGCGTTAATGCGCAAGTTCCGTAATACTTATAATGAGAGCTAAAGCTAGAGAGTAAGAGAATCTATCGCATGCGTTCAAAATTCGTTTACATAGTGCTCCTAAATATGTTACATTTGCAACCGTACAGTACATACAAATGAGAAATTGGAAAATGTTTTTGTGGTTGGGAAAGCAACAACGAGTACGACATCAACGCCAATAACAACAACAACAATGCGATTATTTGTAAAGCAACAG